TGCAGGGCCCTGGCAACGGCCGCGGAGCCGCCAGGTGGGCCGGGGGACTGCGAGGGGGGCCCGGGGTAGCGAGGCCATGGCGGCAAGGCCGAGCTGTGAGGGGAACAGGCGTACTGTGCCCTGGAGAGGGCAATATTCCCCCAGAGGGGAGACATCTCGTCGTTTCCCGGCCCTATGCGTGCCTTAGGGCCGGGGGGGCAGGCGTTTTGCCTCCCTGCCCCGCGAGGAAGCAGCACGGGGCGAGCACCGGGGGGGGGCAGCCCCGTTATGGGGTGGTTCTTCCTTTGTTCCCAGCGTTTCTGGTGACTGGGGGTGAGCTCCTTCCTTTTCGTTCCTGTCCTGAAGGCTTAGAGGTGCGGAGTCCCTGGTGAGGGAGCTGGTATCGGGTGTGCTGAGGTTAAACACTTGGGAAGGCCAGGGTGAGAGGTGCTGCAGGAAGACTGTGGGTGTGGGGCTACACCAAGAGCCCTGACTGGGTTAGGAATTGCAGAGATTTGGGAAAACCTCTCTGAGGAGACCTCTGGAAGCCTCCGTTTGTCCGCTCCAGGATGAATGTTGGCGTGGCACACAGCGAGGTGAACCCCAACACGCGGGTGATGAACAGCCGGGGGATCTGGCTGGCGTATGCAATCTCCGTGGGAGTCCTCCACATCGTTCTCCTCAGCATCCCGTTCTTCAGCATTCCTGTGGTCTGGACGCTCACCAACGTCATACACAACCTGGTTAGTCAAAGCTTGGCCCACTTTCCTCCCAGGGCTGGAGAGCACGCAGGCTGGCATTGCCTGGGTTTGGTTCTGTGCCCCTAGGCTAAAAGGAAGACCCTGGTTCCTTCGGAGCACTGATGGAGGGGCTGGAGGGGTTGGTGCTGTGGTGGAGCTTGGGAATCAGCTGTGACAAGGCACAAAGCCCATTTCTGTCCAGCAGCAGACTGTCCTGGTCTTGCTTTACATCTCCTCTCCCCTCAAAACCTGCAGGTCATGTACTTGCTGCTGCACATGGTAAAGGGGACCCCGTTCGAGACCCCAGACCAGGGCAAGGATCGCCTCCTCACACACTGGGAGCAGATAGACTACGGGACGCAGTGCACCTCATCACGCAAGTTCCTCAGCATCTCCCCGGTAGTGCTGTGAGTGCTGCTGAACGAGGCAGGGGGGCTCAGGAGGGTGTCTGGGGTGCATGGCGGGACCGCCGGGATTCTGTTGGCCCAGCCGCCCTGGCGTAGACGGGCTCTGGGGCTGGAGAGGGTTCCCCATCCGCGAGATGCTGCTTTGTGCCAGAAAAAACAGTGAGACACCCAAAAGCCTCCCCAGTGGGGGTGGAGGGGAGGGGGGGAGCAGCACAAAGCTCACCCGGGGTCTCCCCCTCTCCCCCAGGTACCTCCTCACCAGCTTTTACACCAAATATGACCCCGCACACTTTGTCATCAACACGGCCTCCCTGCTCAGCGTCCTTCTGCCCAAGCTGCCCCAGTTCCACGGTGTGCGCGTCTTTGGCATCAACAAGTACTGAGGCGCGGCACTTCCAGCAGAGCCAGGGGACAGAGAGGGGACACCAGAGTGGCGCAAGGCACTGGCTGGAGAGCAGGGGTGAGGTGTGAGGAGGGCTGGGCGCAGGGTAGGGATCGTTCTGGCTTTTAGCAAGGTTCCTCCATCTCTGAGGAGCTCCTCGCGAGAGCTTTCTCTCTTTGGTGAAGAGAGAAGCACAGCTGAGAAGCATGGAGCGAGCAGTCGTGTCACACGTGCACATTTCCTTCAGGCTAAGCTCCACGTAACCCTGCAGAAAGCACCTATGAGGGGAGAACTGACTAGTGGGAAGAGTCGCCCACCTACACCTCCCTCGTCCTCATGTTTTATGCATTTCCACCATAATAAAGAACTTAACAGCGACTGGAGCTGCGTCCTTGCAGTAGGACCAGCCCTGGCTCACGCCTCCCGCCCACCCCTCCCCACACAGACCAGCCAGACTTCTTCAAACCGTACTTTTAATTTAACAAAAGTGATAAGAAAGAGGTACATTACTATTTAAAACCCAGCTGCTCTGGTCTGGGAATACAAAAAGGTTAGTGGAAAGCAATCGTGGCCGACAGCAGCAGCTCTCGGGGCGTTTCAGCTCGGGTGGGATCATCCACCCTGGCAGCTCGGCCAGGCGGGTGGCTGGCTCGGGCCAGTGGCAGGTGGGGGAGCCTCACGCAGACCCCACGGGCTGTTACTCCCTGCTAAGGACCGGCACAGGCGCCGTGCCACTGCCCAGCACACGGCTCGGGGGGCTGGGAAACACGAAACGCTCGGCGAGACACCGGACACTCGCACGTGTCTCAGCAAAAAACACTCACAACACAACTGAAGATTTCAGCAGCGGCCCGTAACCAGCTCCTGCCTCCTGACCTCACTTTTCTTCAAAAATCAATAATAAGCTGCTGTTCGTCCCCAGCACTAAGGGAAGGGGACGAGGGTCCCTCCAGAGAAGGTGAGGCAGGAAAAGCAAAACCAGCACAGCC